CCCCTTTGTTTTGAGCAGCGCTGGCAGCGCGACCGGCCGCGCGGAGAGGCCCGAGCGCACCGCACCGGATCGCACCGCTCCGCTTCCCTCTTCTCTCCCACCGACCCGACCTGCCCCGACCCCCGGGCGGAGGCTGCTGCGGGCGCAGCGTGGCGGAGCCCGTTCCCGGCTGTGAGTGCGGGGCTGGGGCAGCAGCACCGCGGGGAGGGGCGCGGGGCTCCGCCGAGGCGCGCGTGTTGCGGAGCCGGCTGGGACCGTTACCCGCAGCGGTGGGGACGGCGCGTCCCTACCGGACAGCGCGGGGCGGCCCCTGCCGCGGCGGGGAAGGGCGGTTGGTAGCGCCGATGCCCGGGACCTGTCGGCTGATTCTGTGCGTCCCCCACTGCGTGCGGGCAGCGGGGCGCAGCGCGGCGCGTCCGGCCGATCAGGGCCGAGCGTGGCTGGGGGGTGCTGCTGCCGGTGGCGGTGCCCCCCCCCGCCTCTTGTCCCGCGGCGGTTTCGTAACGCGGCGCTACCCCGCGCCCCTTCGCCGTCCCCCCCCTCCTCTCCGGACGGCGGCGTTGGGGGCCCTGCGGGTGCGGATTGGTCAGGGCGGTGTGGGGAGGCGGGGCCACGGCTCGGCACCGCCCGGGGATTGGGCAGGGCGGGGATGGGAGAGCGGCTGTCGCTAGGGCGGCTCGGGGTGAAGGTGAGCTGGAGGGCGCGCGTGCGTGCAGCGGTACCGGCCCTGGAGCTGTTGGCATTGCGCATGTGTGCTTTGTAACCGAGGGGGGGGCACCCTCGGGAGACGGGGTGTTGTTGCGCTGTGGCGGGTTCGAATCTGGGTCTTGTCCTGTTGCGGCCTCCGGCTTCTGTCCCGTGCGTGCGGAGCGTCCGGGTTCGTCCCTGCGGTGGCTGTGAGGGTGGCGCGCTGCAGCACGGGGTGCAGCCCGGCCTCGCCGGTGCCCGCGGGGCTGTCGGTGTGTTCGTTGTGCACGGTGTTTCCCGCAGCTGGGAGCCGCCACCCGCCGGTGCGGCCGCTTCCAGCCCCGCCATTCGCGGAGCGGCAACGGGGCGGGCAGTCCCCTCCGAGCTGGTCGAGGTCGCTGGTTTGGCTTGGGGGGTGCTGTTTAGTTCGGATGATGCGTTGTTCCCTTATATAGCAGAAAGGGGCAGCAGCATGTTGGGAATGCTTTGGGATAAAGCTGTAGGAATAGGACCCTTGGGGAGGCTCCCACATGGCGACATGCCCAGAACCCCATTCCTTTAGGCAAAGGCAGTATCCCGGGGTCGGGACACCAGCCTGACCTATGAGGTCTGTGTTCTGCCTTTCCTGAGTGCGTGTAAAGCTGACAGTGATGTCCCCTCTGCACAGCACAGGGACAGCACGCAGGGCTCTCCGGTGGGGGCACGACCTTTCCACTTGCAGAGAAGTCACCTACGGGTTTGTGCTCAGAGCTGTTCTTTTTGCTGCCTGTTTTTGTGTGGTTTTACATAATAATAATGAGTCTCACTTCCAAATCAGTTCCTGGTTTTGCTGTGTGACTTTTGAGGGCTTTTTCTGTGTGTCATTAACTCAGTTACTGCTGAATTTTGGTATTCAGAGTTTGTTTGTTCTAATCTAACTAGTGTCTAACGTTAGAATAAACAGCTTCTACAATGCAATGAACTCCTTACTATGTCAGTCCCCTTGGTCGCTTTGATTTCTTGTTTCCCAGTTAATGTCCTTAAAGACTTCATCTTAAAGGCATTCAGATCTGCACTCTCTGTTGTAAATCTGGACCATCTCTTTAAAACCAGCAACTTTATGGTCTTTTTTTTTTTCTGTCACAACAAAGGAAGGAGGAGAAGTAAAAGCTGTGTTTGTGTGTCTGGTGCAGGGAAAGGTTATGGGACTTTTCCTCCTCCCCTCTTGAAAAGAAAACAACAAGAGCACGTGTTGTGGTTCAGCCAGCATGTTGCAGTAGATACAACGGGGAGTTTGTTTTCTCTGACTCTTGTGGTAACCCAGGCATCTGAGATGAAGCACATCTGCAGACCCTGTTATCTGAAGTCGCACCAGAATTACTAGAATAGGCTAAACCTGAGCTGCAGTTCCCACGCTTCAGAATGAAAATACCCTTTATTTAGTTAGTTCAGCTGCGTTACCTTGGGGGTGCTGTTATGAGCATCGTACAGCTAACAGATGTGACTGCTCTGCAGGCCTCACTATGCTAGCGGTGACCCCAGTGCCATGAGGGTGCTGGGCTGTGCCAGTGGCTCCTGCCCTTCCTGGGGCAGCCGCCTGTTCTAGCACCTTCTTTTCTCCCTTTGCAGGCGGTCACCAGTGCGGCCACACCACGCAACTGCCTGTGCTGACGTGACGCAGCAGCGGGCACGGAGTGGAAGCCACCTCCACTGGCAGCAGCAGAAGCCCGGCTCAGCCTCAGGTATCCCAGACTGGTTTGTGTTGGAAGGGACCTTAAAGCTCATCCAGTTCCAACCCCCTGCCATGTGCAGGGACACCTTCCACTAGAGCAGGTTGCCCCAAGCCCCGTCCAACCTGGCCTTGAACATTGCCAGGGATGGGGCAGCCACAGCTTCTCTGGGCACCCTGTGCCAGCACCTCAGCACCCTCACAGGGAAGAATTTCTGCCTAATCTCAAACTCCCTTCTATCAGGTTAAAGCCCTTCCCCCTTTTCCTGTCACTACAGGCCCTTGTTCAAAGCCCCTCTCCAGGTTTCTCGTAGCCCCTTTAGGCACTGGAGCTGCTCTGAGTTCTCCCTTTAAGGAGCCTTCTCTTCTCCAGGCTGAACCAGCCTGGCTCTCTCAGCCTGGCTCCAGAGCAGAGCTGCTCCAGCCCTCACAGCATCTCCGTGGCCTCCTCTGGACTCGCTCCAACAGCTCCACGTCCCTCTTGTGTTGTTGCCCCAGAGCTGGATGCGGGACTGCAGCGGGGGGGCCTCACCAGAAGGGGGTAGAGGAGGAGAATCCCCTCCCTCAACCTGCTGCTGGTCACACTCAGGGGATGCAGCCTGGCATGTACTTGTGAAACTGCCCCCTGAGGGTGAGCTTTGCAGTAGAGCTCTACGCACCTGAGTCCTGCACAACCTGATAGCCAAGGGTCTCGCCCTGACCAAGGATGTGCGTTTCCTCTGCTGCTTTCCGAGAGTTCTGCTAACAGGCATGTGGCATGCAAGTGACAGGCAAACAGCTCTACCAGAAAGCTGCTAGCTGTGTCCAGAGCTCTGGATGACGGCAGAGGGGTAAGATACATGAGGATGTTGGAGGAGGAGGAAGGAGGAGTTTAGAGTACATAAACGTAAATTGCATAGGAGGATGTACTGATGGAAGGTGATAGAGCAGATAGATCTCATTTACTGGCCTGTGAACTGGCCTCTTAGGTTATTTCTGAGGAACATCTTGAGCAGACAAGCCTATGACAGTATAGATTAAGGACATGGAGGAACCTGATCTTCTGGTGCATACAGCTTAGTTTTGAGATGTGCAGGTAATGTTGGAGCTGTGTCTGCATTTGTAAGTAATTGTTAAAACCTGTTGATAGAAAGTGTGATTTGCTTTTTCTTTCCAGCTTTTTTTTTGCATGGTAGACTCTCTGATTTGCTTAAGGTCTGTCCTTGCTGACCCTCGCTCAGGCAAGTGATCTAGTGTGCTTTGTGGGGTTTTGATATAACAATTCCAATTAGTTGTTTGGGCAGAAAACTTGACTGTTTCTCTTTTGTTTCATTTCATTTACTGACGAGATCTCAGATGTTACAGTCTCTAAATGATTGATGCTCTATAGTGCAGAGTCTGTTGGCATGTGTAAGTACCTTCATATGCACACACAAAAGGTGCAGGCAGGTACATCTTCCTCTGTGTGTTTCCCTCCTTTCCATGCTATACGCTTGACTTCAGGCACAAATTGCCCTCTGGCTTTCCAGAGTTGAGGCTGAACCATGGGGCAGACAGCTGGCAGTGGCTGCCAGAGCGAGGAGGCCCTATCACATAGAGCCAAATGTGCAGTGGTGTTACTGATAGTCTTACAAAATTACTTTGGTCAAGCAAACCTACAGAAGTGACTTACTGTAGACAGAAACCAAAGCATAGTATATTCAAAATCAGTAATTTCTGTGGTAGAGTGCGCTTCTTTTTCCTTTCCATTCTCTGCTTTGTGAATTTGCAGTATTTATCCCCTTGATTGTTTTTTCCATGGATTTTTTTAGTTCCCCATTTCTTTAATCCTTTGGGACATAAAAAAAAAAAAAATCACTTTCTGACCACTAATTCTGTGCTGTTCCAAGCACAAAGAGACATTGCTTCCTTTAGTGAGCAGTCTTAACCCAGAGCCTTTATTTCTGTTTACTAGTGATTGCATCATGTAGTGTCTTCTCAAGTCTTAACATCTCACGTAATGAGAGAAATTTCATCTTGAAGGCCTTTATTTTTCACTTGGTTGCTGTGTTTTGCCCTTTTATGCAACATGCCAGTGTCTTGTTTCTGATTTCAGGATAACTTTGCTTTGGAAAAGCTCCATTAGTTTTAATGGCATTCTTCTGATTTAAATCTGTGACAGTGGAATCAAGCCTTTAGCATTTATATTTTTGTGGGTATATTTCCCTCTGCCACTGCTGGTGCTTCGTTTCTGTCGAGTAGTGTGGAATTAATTGCAGATAAAGTTCACCGTAAGGGTTAGAGTGTTAAAGCTGCTGAGGAGGTGGTGGTTGTTGTTGTTGGTTTTGTTTTTCATCTAGCTTGCGTCATTCCAGGATAGAGCAGTTGTGAAATGTGCTGGATAGAGTATCAACTACTGATAGACTGTCTATTTCTGCCTCTTTAAAATCTTTCTTAAGCAATCGGTTATTAGATAGGTTCATTGCAGCAGTGTTTTCCAGGCATCCAGGTGACAACTGATCCTGTTTTAATGACAATTAAGTATTTTGTAGGGTAAATGAGCCATACCAAGCACTTACCTTGTAAAGATGCTTTAAAAAATGTATATGGAAAATGATGGCTTTTTTCTCAATGAGTAAAATGTACAGTACATATGCTGTTCTCTTGCTCTTGGTTAAGATGGTGCCTTTGAAAGCTCCTGTGTAAAAAGCCTGTTTAAAAAAAGCCTGCTCATTGTGTTCTATATTAAGCAATGATGTAGGCAGACTTGGATGGGGTAATTGCAGCCCTAAAGATGCTAGCATGTCAGGAAATGGCACTGCTGAGACGAGCCGATGTTTACTGACTGTGTAAGTGGGGAATGAGGGAAACTGAATACAGCCTTGCAGAAGCATGACAAAAACTTCCATAAACTTTAATTCTGTGCATGTCCTTCTAAGACACAAAATAAATACGACATGCATCTGGAATGATACCTGTGTCAGCCTTGCTGTATTTTGGTGGACGCTCATTTTAGAGCTCAGGAGTGGCAAAAAGCCCTATTGCTGGTGGATCAGTGGCTCACATCACCTCTAACATGCACTCTCTGCCAAGTCAGCTGCATTTCCTTTGGTTATGGACTTCAATATCAGCATGTGCTAACATTTGAGTACTTGATTTTGGCAATGTCAGTGCTCTGATAAATGTGAACATGTCTGTGTGCAGGGGAGAACGTCGTACACTTATATGTGAAACTGTAAAGTGTTTGGGCAAACCTTCTGATAGTAACTATTTGCTAGTAGTACTGTGGAAAACAGAAACTTTCCCTGTCCTCAGTAAAAGGTGCCTTTGGTTCTTATTTCCAGTAGTTTTACACAAACAAATGCAGTTCTGCTTTCATTCTGTTTTGGGTGCTAGCAGTTTACATTAAACTTTAATTGAATTTTAGGCTATTGGACAGCTCGTTTTTAGATGCTGGGATGAACAGGTGAAAACTTACAGACAAGGTTATTCAGTGAGATAACTGAATGTTACTGAACACTTAACATTGTAAGCCCTCGTAATATATTTATATATATTGGAAGCAGTGATTTTTGTTATAACTGAACTTTTACTTTGGAGGTTTCGGTCTCCTCTTTCCCCCTTTCGGAGTAGTGCTGTTACACCTGTACTTTAGAGGCTCCAGCTGAAATTTTCTCATTTGGAAAGAGAAAACCCCAACCTCTGGATCTTTATCCAGGAAATCCTTGGCTTCTGTCAGGCAGGTGACCTGATGGAGGCAAGATCCCAGTTGGGTTTTTATCTTGAACATTAGTCAAGTGGTGCAGGGACATTCAGAACTCGCCATCCAGAACACGTGTTCTATGGGTATCCTTTGCGATTAAGGTGTAGCTGAACATTGTCCTGTGCAAGGTCATTTGCCCTGTGATACTGTGTCACCTCTAGTAAAGGCCAAAAATAGTCACAGTTCATAGTGACCAGACAAGTGTTTTGTCTAATTCTCATGATGAAATTAAGACTGTACCAGACTGAGTACTGAAGTGTTTTAATTTTTCAGACCGTAGCACTGTGAAGGAGAAGCTCTGCAAATATTTCTCAATGACTCTATAGCCAACTGATGTAACAATGGTACTAATATTGGGACGCAGACTGAATAGAGAGGATAGTGGGATACGAGATTCCCCTGCCACCAAGCGGAAAGTGTTTGAAATGGACCCAAAGTCGTTGTCAGGCCCTGAGTTTTTCGACTTCTCCTCGGGATCATCCCATGCTGAAAGCATTCTCCAGATCTTCAATGAATTCCGAGACAGCCGGTTGTTCACAGATGTTATTATCTGCGTGGAAGGAAGGGAGTTTCCCTGCCACCGAGCCGTTCTCTCAGCCTGCAGCAGTTACTTCAGAGCTATGTTCTGCAACGACCACAGGGAGAGCAGGGAGATGCTGGTGGAAATCAATGGCATTCTTGCTGAAGCCATGGATTGCTTTTTGCAGTATGTATACACGGGCAAGGTGAAAATCACTACAGAGAATGTGCAGTATCTCTTTGAAACATCAAGTCTCTTTCAGATCAGTGTTCTGCGCGACGCCTGTGCCAAGTTCCTGGAAGAACAGCTGGATCCTTGCAATTGCCTGGGCATCCAGCGTTTCGCAGATGCACACTCGCTCAAGACACTGTTCACCAAGTGCAGAAACTTTGCTCTTCAGACATTTGAGGATGTGTCCCAGCATGAAGAATTCCTCGAGCTGGGGAAGGATGAGCTTATCGATTACATTTGCAGTGATGAACTGGTGATCAGTAAGGAGGAGATGGTGTTTGAGGCTGTCATGCGCTGGGTGTACCGGGCGGTTGAGTTGCGAAGGCCAGTGTTACATGAACTTCTGACGCATGTCAGGCTCCCACTGTTACACCCAAACTACTTTGTTCAGACTGTGGAAGTGGACCAGCTGATTCAAAACTCCCCAGAGTGCTATCAGCTGCTGCATGAAGCCAGACGATACCATATCCTTGGAAATGAGATGATGTCTCCCAGAACTAGGCCACGCAGGTGAGGAATTTTCTCTCTCTCCCCTTATTTCTGTAGCAGAAGGACATAGTTTGCTGTACAGATGTTTGATAGACACATGCCCAGAAAACAAAAATCTCTTGCAAATGATTTTATGTTCCATTCTGGAGCCACCGCGGTTACACTTCTGTACGTGAGTCTTTTTGCACAGATTATTGCCATGAAAGAAAGGACTGTTCGGGTAAGTGAACTCATACTGCCTTGCATGTAAACTACTTTCTAAAGGTTCGTGTTTGCTAGGTGAGATTTGAAGTTAGTTTGTACAACAGCAGTGACTTGAAAAGAACTGGCTATGCTATAGCAGGTAAACCATCCCATTTCCCAACCTTCTAATGAAGTGATGGAAGTGTACAGCATACTATAAAGGATGGGGATATGTAGTCAGAGCATTCACTTGCTACATCACAAATACCTTACAGATGGAGTAGTACAGGGATTTGTAATAGACAACAGACAGCAGACCAACAGGTTCTTTGCTGAAGAAACTAAATCTTGCATTTTTACAGAATTACAGAACAGTTCCTGCAGAGTTTCATGCTTATTCTGTGACATTTTAATAATTCAGAATTGCTGCGACTTAATAACGTGTTACACAAATGAGTGTCTGAGGTTGTAAGAAGAAACGAGGAAGAGTCCATTAGTGGCATTTATGAGCAGTGGTGCTTGTGATTCATTTCTTCTCCTGAAAATGTCTTTCCCCAGCCTTACTTCCCCATGAAGGCTGACATGATAGCTGGTTTATTGTTAACTCCAACTGATTTGAGCTGTAGTTATAAAATCATGTATTATATTAAGGTGATGCAATGAACTGAGACAGACAGACTGTGTTAGGAGTTACTCTTTGTTTACTCTTAGTCATATGTGGTTGCTGTACAGTCACTGTGCATGGAACCTTTATTTTTTTTGGCATGTGTTAAAGGCTTGCTGGGGGGGGGGGGGGAAATTACTTGGTGAGCATTTGCCCCATTAGTGGCTTTCCAGTCTTCAGTCCTGCTGTGAGAGAAATTCTCAAGCTCCTGGCAGCCTTGCTGCCAGGTTCTCTAAGCTGTACGCTGCCATGGAAGGTCTTTGAAAACTTGTGGTTCATGGCAGTTTGGAAACTGGTACACTCGTAGTTTTGAAGGCATTTCATACCCTGAGTGTGGGCCTTGGGGTGCGAGTTCAGACCAAAGATGACCTTGTTTCATGAGCAATGGGAGGGGGGCTTTATCTTGTGTGGTGCTTGTTCTATGCCTGTTACTCAGTGTGATAAAGCAAGCATATCCTCTCAGACCTAACAGTTTTGTCCAAGTGCATGGTATGTGTGTATACTTGAGAATCTCAGCACCCTCAGGGTAGTGTTCTGGGTTGTAGATCAAGTACCTTGCTTAATGCAGGGGATTTCTGAAGCTGGGGAGGGAAGGAGCTGGTTTCAGAGTTTGCGGGGTTTGTTTGCTTTACTGCCAAGCTTATTAAACTGCACTGTGATTCGAGTAGGCAGGAACGAGAGAAGTAATTTACAAAGAGAAAAACTGGCTGACCTCCCAGCAGCAATTTTTTCCCCTTTTCTATATTACATTCATGGAATAGTTCTTTGTCATTTGTTTCTGTTGCCTGGTTGTTTCTGTTGCCTATAGCAAAAAGAGATCATGTTTTAAAACAGTTACCAGGTCCCCTTCCCCCATCTTGTCCTCACACCTTTCCTAGGCATTTCGGGGGGGGGGTGAGGAGCAGACACTCGAGCTCTTTTCCTTCTTTCTTGCGTTCCTCAATTTCTTTTTGTATATAAACTGTTGGTGAAAGGAGTCAGGCTGCAGGATCAGGAATTCCCACACCAGTGGTTTTACTGTTTCGATTGTGATTGCTTGTGCGAGTATGTGCGCACCTCCAGGTGAAGCGGGTTCTAACCAGTTGTTTCAGAATAACAGTGTGGAATGCAATTTGCAGTTGGTTTTTATTTTGTTTTTCCTTTCTGAAGCCAGTGAAGAATTCCCTGAAGTAAATCAATGTTTAAAATGCATTCTAACGGTTGCCTGCTTGCTCTCTTCCCACTAGGCATGTCTGTCTGAAAGACCTTTTCATTTATTTACAACGGCTTAGTGACATCTTGAGGTTGTCTCTCATGCGCCTTTTAAGTCTGTCTTGTCCCCTGCTGCTTGTGCTGTTGCATGGCAGATCTCCAAGCTGAGATCAAGCTGTAAGCAATAACACATTTCCATATACAAAAAAAGCTCTTCCTGCTGTGTGCTTTGAATTATCTCCAGATTTTCATGTACCTGTGAATTCTTCAGTCACACAGTTTCTGTTAAGCTGTCTGGTAACAATACGTGAGCGTTCAATTAATTAGAAGTTACAACATCTATTCATTCTAATGCATCCTTTTTTGTTATAATGTAGCCCCTTGGCTTTAATGTAGTCCCTTATTCCACCCCCGCGGCCGCCCCCAGGAGATGAGTGTTTATTTCACTTTATAATCTGTCATCCCATTTACTGCCCAAAAGTGAACTAAAAAATAGTAGTGATTTACCAGAGTTCCTGAAATTTGTCTCCCAGACTTAAAATGTTTTTGAATGTAATGTGTCTGTACTACTGCAAGTACTTCTGTCCAGCTGACGCTGTGCTGGCTGGCGTTCTCACCTCATCTGTAGGTCTGCATGTAACTCAGGACCCCTTGGAAACCTGTTCTTGGGACTGCAGGGCACTGTGGGCTGTCTTCCACCCCCCCCCCCCACCTTTTCTATTTTGAGCACCTCTTACTGAGAGGAGGGTGTCTGCTGGAATCTGTCTGGTGCCTGTTTTAGCTCACCTCTGTTACTCTGTTCACACCATTTCTTCTGAGGGCTGTAAGGAGGACTTCTATTATGCATCCTCTGTCATTTGCAAACAGTGTTTTGGAATTAACCTTAAACCCTGTAGAGTGCAAGGCTCCTTCAATGAGGCCTAACAGACAGAATGTTTCTCAACTGAAGAAAGGATTCAGTTAGATAGGTACTGAAAAGATGGGGAAAAGTTTTGGTTTTCAGTGGATTTGAAGTACCATACTAAATGAATATTTTCTTTAAAGAGCAAAACTCCCATCATAACAATGAACAGAGCTCTCTCCAGTCAAAGATTTTTGGGTTCATTTAGTGTTAAAATACAGGTTGATAATCTGGTACAGTAAGCTTTTCAGTAAGCAATGGAGGCCTTGATTCTAATCTAGAAAGTAATCAACAGTCTTCATACATACATACAGTTAGCTGATGTATCTGGGCTTGCTTTAAAGGCAAATTGAGATGAGTACCTTGCTTTTAAGGAAATTCTTTTCCTGAGTGATGCTTTCTGGCACAGGAGCTTCCCCTCTCTTATCCTTTGAGAGATTCTTTTCAGAGTTGTTCCTCAAAAAAGCAAAAACCAGTAACAGTAAATACATAGAAACCAAGAAGGAGCATGACTTGAGAGCTGAGCAGCTGAAGAGAGTGTTTCTTCTGACTAGTTCAGGTATGTGAGTATGCTTCCTCAGTTACCTATCTTCGTTTGCGTAAGCTTACATTGTCATTTAGCATAGCCTTTGCCTATTTAAAATACTCTGAGTAGAAATATATATGGTATATTTAAATCATGGTTGTGACCAGGAGATATAGAAGGGCTAACTGGTTTTATTCCTGATGTTTCAAACCAGGGAAATGTCATTGGGATGTATAAGTTAATATGTGCATAAGCTCCCATTAGGAAATTGGAGGATGGATCGTGCAACTTTTATCACAAATGCAGTCATAAAAATTTGGGGTTGGTTTTGGGTTTGTTTGGGTTTTTTGGGGGGGTAAGGAGAGTGGGGAGAGAACCGCAGTACTTAGCAATAGTATGAAGAAGATCATATATTGGAATAAAACTTAAAGCAGGACACAACAAAAAGGTTTACCAAAAAAAAAGATTAATCTTGCAGTCAGTTTTACTTAATTTATTTCAAGCAGTCCTTGAAATAACTGTATCAGTGCAAAATCCTTTCTGCTGAAAATGCCCTAAAAAGAAAGGATTTTGATAAACAGTTGCAAGACATTGTAAATTTGAGAGGAGGAATGAAAGTTGGTCGTAGTTTGATTGCATGTCAAAGATGATTAATTCTCTACATTCAAATGTGGATTAACATAACGAGTTCTGTTATTGCTGTGAATAGAGTATGTATAATGCAGAAGAATTGGGTTAATAGGAGACTGAGTGTGTGGAATATAATTTAAAGGGTTATTTGTGTACATTGTAGACTAATGCTTTTTTTTTTTCATACAGAGTTTTAGGTTTTGTTTTAGACTTGAATTCTTATTTCAGCTTCCTTAAGTTTTCTTCTGTCACTGCACTGTTTCACTTCTTTAACTCTGCATTGGCTCTAAGCTCTCTTTTCCCTTATTTTGGTGCTTAAATGCCTTTATTTATTTATTTATTTTGGCCAGTAAAGAACCTAAACCTTTTAAAACTGAGTATTTAAGCAATGTAAAGTCCTATGAATTATGTGATCAGGAAGGGTTCACATGGGGACTGGTTTCATTGTGACTACTCACCTCACTGTCTGGCCTCACTTGAACTCTGTTTCTGGTATCTCTAGGTACACAGTCAAAGGAAAAGTATTTCTAGAGTAAGGGTTTTCTGTATTTAATTATTTCATTTTCACACAGGATGTTGTGCAATGCAATTCCACCAGTTACAGCACCTTTCTGTGTGGTAACCTGCTGTGTAATGAGACAGCTGGAAACAGTCAAAACCTCTCTTTGCTAAATGGCTCTTTCTTTGCTGTAGAAGTTAATGCTAAATAATAAACTTTCTTGTTTTCACACAGTTTGAAGACAGTGGTGTTTGGCCTCCATGTACTACTAAATATCCTCTGCATCTGGGTTTTCTGTGTTCCTTTTCTAGATCAACCGGTTATTCTGAGGTGATAGTTGTTGTTGGAGGCTGTGAACGAGTTGGAGGGTTTAATTTGCCATATACTGAGTGCTACGATCCTGTAACAGGAGAGTGGAAGTCACTGGCTAAACTTCCAGAGTTTACCAAGTCTGAGTATGCAGTGTGTGCCCTGCGGAATGATATTCTTGTTTCAGGTGAATAATCCTAAAAACATTCAAGGCTTTGTCTTTTCTTTGCTACATGTTTTGTTTTGTTCTTTCTTTGTAAGTAGTGTTACCGATGTTGGTACTGTGAGCTTCCAGCAGCTCACCTGAAAGCCACTTTGTCAGTGGTGACCACCAGCCCCAAACCAATCTCACTATAGACTGTCTGTAGACTACAAATTGTGTTTTATAGGACTTTTGCTTGGTATTAATTGACAGGTTTTTACAGCTGATTACAGGATAACAGTTGTGTTTAAGGAGACAAGTTTCTGCTCCTTAAATGCGCTGCTTTAAAATATACTAACAGCCTGTTTGCAGCAACAGTTGGAAAAATCTGAAGCAACAAATCCCAAGCAATCTTTTCCCAGCAGCATTCTCTTTGCTACAAAAGGTGCTGTACTCTGGTTAAACCACCAGTTGTCTGAGAGCAGCACAGCAGTGGTGCGTTGCTGCTGACTTGCTTCTATTGTATGGATTCCCAGACTCCAAAATTAAAACAGTTTAAGCTTCTTCTCATGGTGGGAACAAAAAATGGAAACAAATTCTTTTTAGCACCTGAGTTGGGGATCCATTTATACTAGCCTTTTAGGGTAAAATGAGCAATAGCTGTAGGTTTTTAAACATCCCTCGTCCCATCTTTTAGGTAGGGTAAATGTATAGGGTTCAGCTGATGGCTTAGACACCAAGCTGCATGTGTCAGACAAATAAATTGTCTCCTTGGATGTGTAGTACATGTGTCATTTGAGCAAACTGTAAAACCATGGATATCACAGAATCATAGGATAGTTAGGGTGGGAAAGGACGTTAAGATCATCTAGTTCCACCCCCCTGCTATGGGCAGGGACACCTAACAAGATGTACATATGAACCAAACAGAGGAACAAGTGGGGTTATGGATGTGCCATGAGGCACACAAACAGTTAAAGAATTTCAGTCTCAGGAAATAATCTGAAGGGATCTTAGCATGTTTCTGGGAAAGGCACACATAAGTAAAATAACTTGTTGTATGTTCTCATGTTTGAAATCCACTGAAACTGACTTTTTTCAGTCAATTTGTATGAACATAGATACATCTTTATTTTACCTAAAAAAAAAAAAAGAAGTTTTCATGGCTTGCTCTACAGAGGTATGTTAATAGTTAAAATATCTCATTCAATAGTGAATTTACTGAAATTGGCATATTTTTTGTTTTCCAAGGTGGAAGAATCAATAGCCGGGATGTTTGGATTTATAACTCTCAACTTAACATTTGGATCAGAGTTGCCTCCTTAAATAAAGGCAGATGGCGTCATAAAATGGCTGTTCTTCTTGGTAAAGTAAGTATGTTAATAATGGTTTTATAGTGGGGATGTCTGTATGTAACAAAACAGTGGAGCAAACGTGTAGTATTCAGCACTACTTAATATGACTTTGCCTTGACATAAAACCACTAGTTGGGATCAACTGCCCATGGGATTCTGTTAATGAAAGTTAGCAAAGATGTGGTATCCCTTGGTATCTGTGGTTAGGGAAGCCTGTGGTATCCCTTGGACTTCTTAAAGGTGAGGCTTGCAGCTGGTGCAAACAGAGGGAGGAAGTTAAAAAAATAGTAATAAGGCCTGCTTCTTGAATATGAGAGAAGCAACAGGAAAGAAAAGCAAAGCTTACAGACTGAGAGGAAGAAACAGTTCTGTGAGCAAGTATGAGAAAGGCAAAACTCAGAAAAGCAAAGGTAAATTCAGATGGATTCTTGCCATTGCTGAATTTAATATGTAAAAAGAGAAATGCAGAGGCTCTTGATTCCTTTTGTAACAAATGGCATTCAAATAGGAAGTTTCTAGCTCAGTATTAAAAGTACTATACTTTGGACATGTGTTTGCAATGCCATTGCACACATGACTGAATGGAACTCTCCAGAGTCTTTACCTATTATTTTTAGACAATACCCTTCATCCTTCTCCTCCTGTGTATAAATTAAAAATAAGAGGACAGTGTCCCTTCACAAACCTAGCAACATTAATGGTTCTTGCAGCTTTAAATTTAATTCAGTTTCATCTTTAAATGTAATAACTACTCTAAAAATTGAATGATGATAGTTTTCACCACTTTGCATTAGGTGTATGTTGTTGGAGGATATGATGGACAAAACCGCCTCAGCAGTGTGGAGTGTTACGATTCATTTTCTAATCGATGGACGGAGGTGGCTCCCCTTAAAGAAGCTGTGAGCTCTCCAGCTGTCACAAGCTGTGTTGGCAAACTCTTTGTGATTGGGGGTGGTCCTGATGACAACACGTGCTCTGACAAGGTGAGTTAATTGTATTTGATTGCTTCTTTTATCTATGGTAAACAGTATTCCTGGTTTAAAAACAGAGAGAGATCTGTTGTAGCTGTTCTGTTGAATGGAGTATGGAAGTACAGTAATACAAAAAAGAATACAGTAGAAAACATTAACTTGGTAAGATGCTGTTACTGTGGTCTTCCTCATGGGTACTCTCATTGGCTGCACAAGTTCTGTGAATTCTTAAACTTGAATGTTAGGAAAATAATGTTGAACATAGTGCATGTGTAGACATTATTGATATATAGACCTATATTTATATTACCTTGATTTTCATGAGGCGATATTGCCCACCAGGTATTGCTGCTTTGGCTCTCCTTGTATAACTCTGTGGGTGTGCCAGGTTATTTTTTTCAGTTCTGGTTTTAATCTGAAATGCATGTATTTGCTTTCAGGTTCAGTCTTACGATCCTGATAGTAATACTTGGTTGCTCCGTGCAACTATCCCCATTGCAAAAAGATGTATTACGGCTGTGTCTTTAAACAATCTGATCTATGTTGCTGGTGGACTTACCAAAGCAATATACTGCTATGATCCAATTGAGGACTACTGGATGCATGTACAGAATACATTCAGCAGACAGGTAATTAACACTAAAAAGCCTGCAGACATCTGAAAGGTATTTTTTGACAAGTATCTTGGCATGAAATGAGTATACTTGTTTAACACTGTTAAAATGGCATCTGATTCCATTCTTGCTATACTTCATCTGTGTAATTGAAGCTCATGCAGAAGAGGAAGCTTCTAAACCAGTTGCATTCAGCTGGCTATCACTGTTAGTGAGTCCAGGCTTCTTGTTTGAGAGCTGTTACTGTTGGAGAACAGTGTAACAGTGTAATGGATGATGTTTTAATTGTATAAAATCCATCTCCGTCAAGTTCTACTGCATGTTTAGACTCAGTTTAGGCTGAGGATAGTAATGTCCGTATAATTGATTAGAGCCTTTCAGGCAAAAAGTACTGAGGCTGTTCTCACAAGGTGACAAAAACCCTACTGTATAGCACAGACTGTCTGAGTTCAGCAGCAAGAGCAGTATCACTTCCACACATGGAACACTGAGTAGAATTCAAAGCTGTGTCTCCGTGGTAGTGAAGTGTGTGCATAGCTAATTTTGCTGATGTTTTTAAAATATCAGTCACATGCTCTATGGTGTTCACCTTAACAGAAAGGTCTTTTTGCTGGCCTTCCCTCTATTTCTCTGGTTTGGTTTGTGTTCTGTATTTAACAGAAGATTTTTCCATGCCTGCTTTTAAGGAAGAAATAAAATCCTATCTCTTTGCTTCAAGCAAGACGTAGGGCTGTCTTTTTCTTATGCACTCTTTTCTTAGTCATAACTCTTTTCCTAGTCATAACTCTTTTCCTTTCCCCTGTTTGCATCCCTCTTCATTATCTGTTACTTCTCTGAGGTGCCTCTCCTTGTTACCATTTTTTGCATTAATACTACCTACTGTGGTCCCTCTTCTGAAAACCTTTGTTCTCTTCTCCTTTCCTTTTCTCAGATGTTTAACTGGTAAGGGCAGAGTTCAGCTGTATTCCATTGGATCCCTTGTCTGAGCTCTGCGTAGTGAAGGCCTAGACCTGAAATAGTCTTTTCTGAGCAATTATGCTGCTGATTTCCCCAGTTACTGCAGAAAAATAGGATTTTCTGCATTCCCCCTTCCAGGATGGAACAGTATAGGCCAGTCTGTTTACAAACTGTAGTCACAATGCAATCCTTCTGCACTGGGAATTGAGGTCCTGCTGTTTAAATAATCGTGTATTTCTTTGTGTATTTTGAAACAGGAGAACTGTGGCATGTCTGTGTGTAATGGAAAAATCTATATCCTTGGTGGAAGACGAGAAAATGGTGAAGCCACAGACACTATTCTTTGTTATGACCCTGCAACGGGCATTATCACAGGAGTAGCAGCCATGCCCAGGCCAGTATCGTATCACGGCTGTGTGACGATTCATAGATATAATGAAAAAGGCTTTAAACTGTAGTCTTTTTTTGGGAAAAAAAAAGAAGATGGCACGAGTAAAACCAGTGGTCTGCTGCAAGACAGGCTTCTTAAAGATTCCTGGAGTGGAAGAATGTCCTTTCCCTGCCTAAGTGTCATACAAAAATTATATCCTGTGCCTTTAGGAAAAGAGTTAATTTAACTTGCAAAACAAGTCTGCAAGTCTGTCCAGTAACCAGAGTTCAGTTGCATCTACTGTGGGCTCTGATGCAAGAGCAGTAACAATACATTGTACCGGTGTTCAGAAAGTTTGCCCTATGTGTGCTTAGTAATTAAAATCTTGGAAGCTTTTTGGGGAAAGTGCCTTCACAAGCATTTATGCCTGTGTCCTAAGAAGTGTTATCTGCAAGGTGTTTCAGGTTCTGCTAATTGGAAAAATACACGGGCAAGTAAATTCCAAAGAATCATCTAAGACAACTACCTACAATTTAAAAGCTTACATAATTATAGCTTATATGCACAGCATTCTTACAAGCAGATCACTTGCCTTAACCAAGTAGATTTTATGTCAGGTCATACATGGTTTGGAATTTAAACAAAACCAAACAAAACAAACAATGTGGGACAGAATCTTTGAGGAATGTGTTTTTTTTTTAAGGAGAAACTAGTTGTTTGGTGAGCCACTGCAACTCACTGCAGTAACAATCGTGTACCTTAGCACTATGGGCCTTATTTGTAGTGTTGCTAAGCATTCATCAGAAGTACAAGGCTACATGACACGGAAAAACTAGTGACCACTGGGGTGTAGGCACGCATCTGTGCAGCAAGTCTGGAATCCCAGTTTTTAACTCTCTGAATAGTAATGGCTGAAGTCTGAAAGTTACTGGATTTGCTCTTGGCTCACTGCTAAGTGTCTATAAACTATTCAAGAAATAAAGGATCATGACCTCTGGATTCTACTGCTTTCTTGAATCAAATTGCCTCATGATAGATGTAGGGAATGGGGTTGCATCCTACAGCTTATAAATTGGTCTTTTGTATATCTCATCTGCAGAGATGGCAGAGTACCTGCCAAGTATTTCTTGGCCTTTCTTCAGACAATCACTTACTCCAGCACAGTTCAACTACTGTATAAGCTGCTTGGCCACAGATAAAGAAGTTCTGGAAAGGTCCCTCCTGTCACCAGAAAAAAATATCTGTGGACATCTCCACATAGCCATATGAGGAAACTCCCACATAACATGTTTTGGATAATTTTGAAGCTTCAGAAGCACCTATATTTTTACATACACACACACACACACACCCCCACCCCTTTTTTTGTTTTTAAGTAAATGTTTTTGGTTCTTTTTAAGTCCTCCCTAGGTTTCCGTACTAGGTCTCTTTATTTCTGGTACACAGTTTTGTAGTTGAGGCACAAGTTCATAAAAACTGAAATAGCACTTCAGAGTTGGAAAATGAATAGGATTGTCTGTGTATCAATTTCCTGTTAATCACCAAAATCCTCAGGAACTGCCTTTCAAAGGAATTCTGAGGACAGCAGCCAGTAGGGAAGTTGGTCAGTGCCAGGGCAGAAGAAAAACATAAGGCTCCTGCAGTGACAGCCCTGGCCTCAGGGTTCTGATCTCCATGCTTGCTCAGGAGGGTGAAAACAAGCACCATCTCTGGAACGTTGTTTGTTCCGCTGGACTATCCTCATCTGTTTGCTCAGAGTATTTCTTCATGAGATGGAAATTCTGACCCTTGGTGAAGCTGTGCCAAACTGGGAGTGATCACTTTGAGTAACATATGGTCGTGACTTTTAAAGAGCACTGGGAGCTGCACTTAGTGATGCATTAACTTGTAACCTCAGGAAAGGACACAAACTTGAGTTTCTGGCTGAATACCAAATGTTGCTTTGTATATGTTAAGAATACTGATAAAATACAAATCTCTGCATATCAGTGATGTAATTAGGAATTCAGTCCCTGAGCATGTACATTCACATGGCCCTAAAAAGAAAGTCCCTTGGGAATGTAAGACAAATGAATCTGATTAATGAATCTTTTTCTAACTTTCTTGTGTTTCTGCTCACCAAATGTTCCTTTGAAAAGGTAATTTCACTACCTGTGAATAAGGTCCGTTGATAGCAATGGTAATGGCCCAGTAACTGATACTGTATACTAACACTGTATATAACTTGTGCCATCATTGTAAATGAACATAACATTATGGGAGCACTTAATTAGAGATGCAGTTTGAGAAATGCTCTCCTTTGATTCCCATCTTGTTTGTATTAAGACTTGTGATGTTGATTGTCATGCTAAACTGTTTTGAAACATTCTTTATTCTGTAGGTGTAGAACAATGTCATTTATGTATAGGTATCTTTTAATTAATCTTGTTTATAATACTGCACTATTCTGTAAATAACAAGATACCGCTTTCCATGGGTTTGAAGATTTGTGTTATAGTTTAGTTGCCTTTTCTTAACAATTTATGTACCGTTACCTATTATTTTGAAAATGACAGTGTTTAATGAACCAGTAAATGCAGAAATGTAGCTGTAGAAGAAAACTTTGCTTAGAATTCTTGAGAGCCTGTATTCAGTGCTGAACAGTTACGTGTGTGGAGCATTGCTAAAGTGGCAGTTAACTCATGCAATGATTTCCTTGCTTGTTAACTCTGTAAATAATTTGCACTTACAGCCTGCTGTGTTAGAGAAGTTATTTTTTAGAGGCACTAGAAAAGAACAAATCAACTTTGGTTTAATGAAAATGTACCATTTTTCTAAGAAGGATGTGTTAAATTTGGAAGTTGCATTCCTGAGCCACCTGTTTTCTAATGCATTTCACTTGGGTATAGATGAATTCAAAGATTTAAACTCTCACTGTTAAGCATATCTAACTGCTTACAGTTCATGGGCTTGAGCAGCAAGTTGTGTGGTTTCTGGTTGTGGGTTTTGGGGTGGGTTTTTTTTTGTTTTGGCTAGGAGAGAAACTTATTAATGCCATCTAGTATAATCAAAAGATTTCCATCATAAATGGTAATAGGTTTGGTATCTACGAAGTAGAGATACCTGCACAAAGATGTAACTTCAGTCTAACTATACATGGGCTCAAGTATCTCCAAAGTCACATCAAAAAAGTAAATTCCAAGAGCTAATAGTTCGCTCCACTAAACAGATAATTATCTCTTAAGCATTTCACTCTTAAAAAGAAATGAGAGTAAATGTTTTTCTTCTCCATTTTGATGTGCACTTCATGAATTGCATCCTTCTGTTCCTAGCAGTATGATGTTAATTGAAAAGAAAGTTGATGCTTCCTTGCAGCATGGCTTCTAGAAGGTTCTGGATAGATAACTTCAGGACTATGTTACAATGCAGCATATAGCTGCCTGCTTTTAGATATCCCATGCATTCCCTCATTTTACAGCCATCAAGCGTGTAACATTGCCTGGTAATCGTCTAGTTTTCCCTGTAGGCTCCCTTCTCAGTAATGCTTCAGTAGATGTAATTTGTGGAACCTCTTCCACTTGTACCATCAGATGATCAATTTCATACTATGTGCCTGGTATGCATTTTGAGGATTAGGCATTGTGCTTGCCACTCTAGCACCAAGGGTCCAGAGCTGTAGCATTTGTTTTTAGTTGGCACCAATGCAGTTCCTGTCAAAGATTGCTTTTGTTTTACTCTCTGCAACAGAGATACCTTCAATGCAGATTGTTGACATGGACCCTTACTATAGTCAAGCTTTTTAATGGTATTTTTAACACTGCAAATTTTTGAGAGAGGTTGATGTAGGAAGAGGAGGTGCTCATCTTCACAGAGGTTCAGAGGAAGCTATGGTCACCTGTGCTTGAGAGCAAGGACACTGCTGACTGCTCCATCTTCTTCCTCAAAATAGTTGAGCTCACCACATTATCTTAGATAATCTAAGATAATCTCAATTTATCCTGCTTTTTTTTTTTTTTTTTTTTAATTTGAGCTGCAAGGACAAAACAAGATGCAGTCCCGCTCCCTGTGACTTCAGGTTTCCCTCCTGCCCAAAGCACAGTGGTGAGCTGGAGCTGTTGCTCTCAGTGGGTAGGCAGAGCTGTGAACTTAGGTCAGCTCCGAAGAGAGGCAAGAGAGAAACTCGTTGGGGTGGGATGAAAGATGACACGGTGTGTTTGGGCTTTGTGCGTTTGGCTGGGCTTGCTGAAACCAAGATGTTCTGGATGCTTGGAAGTCTGCAATTCCAGTTTGAAACTCAGGTGGTAAAAATACTTCATGTTGTCTACACTGAACTAAGTTGAAGCAATAAAGGTGCATATATGTTCATGATGTTCTAGTGGCAATGTTCATGAAAGCCAGAGGTTCATTTTTCCTAATTGTCCAACTCGGGAACTATATGTGGATTTGTTGGTTTGTTGTTATTTTCTACCACTGAAGATGGCAAAAGCCAATTCAAGAGCATTAAGAAACTCCCAAGACTTTGCACTGTGAGGCAAAATGAGTATTTTCATCTGAATGTAGTCTCATGCACACAAGAAAGTACAAATGAAATGGTTTGTTGTGCCTGGTTAAAGAAATCTGAGCAACATACACTCATAAAAGACGTCTACAATGTAAGATGAGATTTTTAAGCAGAAATTTGCTATCTGATTGGGGGCCAAGCAGTGATTTTATTTTAACATGCCTAGCACACAAGTTTCCTCAGTGTTGCATTATTTCAGGTGGCATTAATAAAAATGCATCTGACTGTCAGTTCATTATGACTGTGTCAGTGCTGTGAGCATTGCCACAACAGTCAACAGCCTCCTACCAACCTCAGACCAGATGTGTGACTTGGATGTTCTTTGCACACTGGCTGTCCTCCCTAACTAACATTACACATAAAGTATACAGCCCTGATAATATTACTTAAGAACTTGTATTTACAGGGACATTTATTTTTTTCTACTGTAATGCTCCAGTCCATGCTTATATGTTTATGTGTGCCTATCTGTGCATGTGAATAATTCTGAAATACTTTTCTGATAGCGCTGTTATAAGTAATGCACATAAATGCTCCTCTGTACAGCATGTTGATAATGTAATTATGGCTTACTTTGTATTATTAGTTCCAAAGAAAATACTGTGTGTTAATTTTGAAAAGACCTGTGCCTTGAATTCACCTTCTATTTTTATCTATTGTGAAAAAGAGCTTGGGTTACTTCTCCCAATTTGTTGTTGTTAGGATCAGCCTTACTGTCCAGACTCCTGATGTCTTTCTAAGAGAAATAAATCTTACCATTAGCTAACCATAATAGGTAAACCTCTTGTTTAGAATATGCTTAGAATGCTTCCATTATTACAGGCTGTGGCAGATTTAAACTAGGGAAATCAGTGTTTGTCTCTTCCTATTCTTCGTTTTCTGCGCTCCTCAGTTGCAGAGGGTTGGAGTTTAGTCTTTGACTTCCTGTCCTTAACATGTACAGTTTCTTGTTTTAGTCAGCAGCCTCTACGCTCTTTCTGAACACTCTGACTTGTCAGTCATGAACCTCTTGTTCAATGTATGTAATATGAAGCAATAATACGGTGCAGCATGACAATAAGGAAATCAAGAGACTTGAATGTAATGTATTATTACCAAGTTCATCTGTGCAAATGCTGGACCTGTGAGTCATTCTCCTCATGGTGCACCTGTAGCAATTTGGAGTTGGATTAATAGGAGCTACTTGGACATGGAAAGAGAATTTACCTCCTGAACTGTTACTCCTATGATATCTTCACCTGAAATCATGTTCTGATTTTCCTTTTTGCTAAGGAAAACAGCATTTCGTTATTCCTTGCCAGTTCCTTTATTTAATGAAACATAAAAGGCATAGTTCTGCAAAGAGCTGATACTGTCTTCAAGAACAACCTGGTGCAGCACAAAGGACATTTGAACAAAAGAAGTGCAGACCACTTACTGTGTGCCAGAGTCAGTGTAACATTATCTCACATATAACATTAAGGTCTTCAGATTGTGCTGGCAGTAGGAAAGTGATTTTGTAATGTAGCACAACTGCAATAACACCTGTTATATTTAAATATATTTCTTGCATAAATCTTTGAAAATTTTTTAAAGTTCAGTGTACCTAATAAACATTTTGCCTTTTGAATAGTTCACTGTTGTTTTTTTAGGTTATGAGGAGTTCCAGAGTGGGGCTTGGTGGTGCAAGCAATAAACTCCTTTGGGTCATTTAACTTGTTGGATTCTGCCCCATTGCAGTCTCTGTATATATCCATTGTGTCTCACAGTCAAGGTGTTCTCCCTGCTCATCTTTCTGTCCTCAGCATGGAACTTACTATTGATATGAATAAAGGCAAGCTGGAGGCTGTGAAGCAGAAGAGTGAACTGAGAAAGAAAATGGGAAAAGTGATAAAGCAGGGAAGTGTGATGCGAAATACTGGCTAGGCCTGGGTATTAGGATGGGAAAAGGATGTGAATGGACTTGAAAGACAAAACTGGTGTGGGAAATCAGGAAAAGGTAACACAGAACTAGGAAGGTGACTGGCAACAATACAGGTTAGGAAGAATCCTATAGAACATTTATTCCCCTAAATTTTGGTACTTGGCCATCTTGAGTTCCCACTTGCTGACAGCAGAGTAAGGGTTCAGACTGTGATGGAGTGATACTACCACAGTTGAATTGATGGAAAGAAAGTATTTGGTTTAATACCCCATTTTTAGAGATTACATCCATCCTTCACGTATTTTTCTAGCTGTACTCCTGGCTTCTTCCTCGTCCCTGTAATGTGTGTTCTGGATCTCAGAATTTGCCCTCTACATAATCCTAGTTTTGCCTTCTTCTCCAAAACATTTATTTTAGATACTGTTGAATACAGCATCCATAGCTTTGCCCTGTAGCCCACTGAAATGTGATCTGTATCACAAGTCTACTTCCCGTGTGAGGTATTCAGCCATGGGGTGTTCTGGATATACCAAAATAAAACTGAAGACCCTGATATTCAAGATAGTGCTTTTCTCTCTGACACAGAGAAATGAGTACAATTAAAGAGCAGCTCTTAATAGAAATGGTACCAGGCATTCTGCGTTTTAATACAACTTAAATGGACACGATACCACATCATCATCCATGTTATGCAGCTTTGAGATGCAGAAAACTGAAGCAGCTTCACTAGTTTCAACAGTTTGAAACCTACCCCCAGAGAGATGAGTCTGTATGCTGTACTTCTGAGATATGTGGTGTTTTTCAAATACCTTCTAACATGAAATAAAACTTGGCAAGCCAACAGTGTCTGCTGCAGTTCTACAGTGTGGCCAGGCTCATTTACAGCAACCAAGCAGCTCTTGCTGCAGTGCCACAAGTACGTTACGACCAAGTTCAATGCTTACAGAATTTCATTTTCCTGAAAGAAGTAATATTGCCTGAAAGGGAATCCACAGACTGCAAAGCAATGGAAATAGTTTTGAGGGCTGGAAGCCCACCTTAAGATATTTTAAGTTTTAAACATAGTCAACTGGCAGTATATTTTAACAGTGAACAGCCTCTTTGCATTAGACAGGAAAAGGGAAGAAAATAAAATTGAACTATATTGTACACTTACTTTTTCTGATGAGCATGATACAAATATGAATACAGGAAGAGCCTCCATCAGTTTTCCATAGTTCATGTTTGTGCTTGGTAAGAAGTCAGAAACCTGTTGTAGTATTGGTCCTGAAATTGGAACAAAAAGAAGACTTTAAGGGCTAAGCCTTGAATATTCAGCATACACTTGCTAATTAGTGGCCTCATAGTAAGTTTGCAACTATATGTAAAAGCAGGACTTTAATTTATACTGGTTAGCAGCTCACTGTATGAGCCATGGGACTACCACAGACCAAAGCACTACTTGCCATTAGCCGCACCTCAGAGAGGTATTACAGCCTGGCCAAAACCAAACACCAAAATGGACAATTACAGCTCCGATTTGAGACACTATGAAATACTGTAAGAAGCTGCTACGAGATTTTTCTAGAGGCCTGTCTTTAGTGGGATCAGTGCAAAACCCCCCTTGCATGGACTTTGTGTGTGCAACGCAGAAGCAGGCTGGAGCCACCATCCCAGCCCTGAGGTGACACTTGCAGGTACCTGCACCTCAGTCAACCCACGCATCATTTCTTAGGGGGATTTCGTGGGTTTTTTGTGGATAATCACCATTGTTCCACTGAACTAAAATGTTCTCCTCAACTTTTATTACTTAAAATTGTTTCACCCAGGGAGTCAGTATTAGACCAATACATCAACGTAGCTAAACGGAAACACCACAGGGCCGCTGACCTCGGGCTGAGACCAAACTGCTGCCCACAAACCCTTCGCTACCTCAGCGGCACGCCTGCGGCGCGACGCGACGCAACGCAACGCGAGCCGCCTCCATCCAGTCCCCTTCCCGCGCCTCTCGCTGGGGCTCCCCTCAGGCGAGCACAGCCAGGTTCGGGCTCCCCCCCACACACCCCGGGGCGGTCTGCGGGCCCGCCCCGCCCCTCCGCCGCTGTCCGCCTGCGCGGGCCCCGCCCCAGCCGTGACGGGCAGCCCGGCGCAGGGCCCTGAGCTCATGGCGGCGGCGGCACTGGTGGCGGGACGCGGCGGCGGGGGCCGGCGCTGAGCGGCCGCAGGGCAGCGGGGCGGGAGCGGCCTGTGCAGGTGGCGGCGGCGGCGGGGCCGGGCGACGGCGCGAGGGTGAGGAGCAGCGGCGGTGGGTGGGGGGAGAGGGAGGAGCGCGCGGCCGCGGCGGCTTTGTGTGTGCGGGCGGGGGGAGGGGAGCGGCACGTGGGCCTGGCCGCGCGGGCTCTGCCCCGCCCACAGCGACCCCCGGTACCGGGCACCCCTAGCGCCGCGGCCTCTGCCTCACCCCGCGCTGCGGGCTCGCGACTCCCGCCTCAGGGGGGCTGCGGGACGGGCTGCCCCTTCCCGCGCAGCTCCGCGGTTGAGCCGACGTGTCCCGCTGGCGAAGGGGTAGTGCCGGGGCGCCTGTGCCCGCCCGGCTCTGAAGCCCGCGTCTCCCCGTGTGGGTGGGCTCCCGGCTCGCCGGTGCCTGTGCTGAGGTAAGCCCGGTGCTGAGGTAAACCCGGCTCGGCGGTGCTGAGTGCTGAGGTAAACCTGGCTCTCCCCAGTTCACCGTAGGGTCCCAGTGCAGAGCGCGCTGGCAAGTGGGGCTCAGGGGGCCCTTTGCTGCAGCAGGCAGCAGTTTGCTATTGCAACACACGGGCTGGGGTAAGCTTCTATTGTTTGTGAGGGAGTTAAAGCCCCTGGGCCAGTGTTGAGATACAGGGTTAACCTGTAGTGCCAGGGGAAGGAGGTATCTCCGTGTGGTGAGAGGTAGAAGCTTGCCCAGAAGGTCACTGTGCGTGAAGTTAATGCTTTTATATTTCCTCTCAGTGAAGAGAACATGTCTGGGATGAAGAGAGTGATCGTGGAGAAGGACCCCGACTATGAGGACATCACCATCACTCATCCCAGCAAGCGCCACAAGGCAGCTGAACAGTCAGGTAGGAGCTCTCTGAGCTGGAGGGGCCTTCCGGGTGGAATTAGGAATGTTGTGGATGTGCATGCTGTTGAGGCCAGGTCAGGGAAGGACTGGGGTGGGAGCTAAGGGGTCAAAGGGCAGACACTGAGCAAGGGAGCTGGTGATGCTTCTGTATGGTCAAAAGAAAATGTGATTGTTATACACGGAGCCATTTCTACCTGCTAGTTGAGCTGTAAAGTAAGGCATGAGGATGCAGGCTGTGGTGCATGATAGCAGCTAGAGCACGAGCTCTCCAGGGCCCCACCTGTACTTTCATTCTTGTTTGCTGGAGTATTTTGTCAGTGCATCTTCTCAGCAGGTATCCATGCTGAAGTGTGCTCCATCCTGTGCATTTGTTTTGTATGTTTTGCAATTGAAATGAGCTTCCAGAAAGACTGGCAGTTTACATTTTGGGGGATACGGACTGCAGTACAGCATGGTGGAGGGGGTATCCACGACCCTGCAGCAGATAGACTGTCTCCTAAGGATGGCAAATGTTTGCAGGAATAAGCAGATAAAAGGAAATGGAGCAGTGTAGAAGGGGGTAAGTTAGGGCGAAGAAAGGGGTTTTGAAAGTTGCAAGGGAGGAGGAGAAAGAGCAGCAGCTACTTGACTGAAAGGAAAGTGGATAAAGAAGTGTAGTGGAGAGAGTAGTTGGATGAGTAGGTTTGCATTTGGCACGTTCTGATATGCTTGCTTTGGGAACCAGCTTGTTGGCAGGGTGCCTGGGACAGGTTGCAGTCATCTCTGGGCAAATGGGAGTAGAGCTTCTTGCCCTTGGGACAGGGAGTAGGGTAGTGATTTTTGGCATAGTATAGCTATGTGAAAGGATCGTGATGGGAAGAGCTGACAAACAGGGAGGTGAGAAAATTGAAGCTGGCTGTGCGATCTGAAGATGATCCAGGAGCAGAGCAGGATGCCAGAGCTGCTGATTGGAGAGGGATAGATGATGGCTTTGTGGGTGATGCCTTGGAGGGCTGTGTACAGCTGGACAAGTCTGAGGAGGCTGAACCCTGGGTTGAATGTGTTGCTGGGCAGATCATGTCTGCTGGATTGTGTACGGACCCTGACAATGGAGCTCTGCTGGAGCTGGCTGTGGCAAAACAGTGTCACCACTCCCAGCTGCCTGCCCTGCCTGGCTGCCAGAAGCCACCACCCTCCCTGGTGGAGTGTCCCAGGGACTGCAGGCAGGTTTTTAATCCACTTTTTGTGAAGCAACTTTTCAGAAGATCTTAGTAATTAGCAGGCAAAGCCTCAGTGCCTTGGAAAACTGTCCTTCCCAGAGCAAGCTTTCTGTTCAGGTGATTCCTCTGAATTGGCTTCTTTCTTCCTCTTATGGATTGTCTCCAATACAGGAATTTCTTAAGTATACAAATTTCACTAATGTGATCTTAATTAGGGTATGTGGTTGAGGCTAAGATGGGAAAAAAACAAAAATAAAGTGTTCTTAAAAGCCTCAGTAATATAATCACAAACACTATAAGGTGCTTTAATTGTCATAATACTGGTGTTGCATGGCATCAGTCTTGGGAAGAGATGTAGTTGGCCTTGTCTGAACTGTACATCTCATAGCTTAATCTGTTTAGGGTTATTTAAAGTATAGCCTTA